CGAGATTCGTTCCCCCTACCACGTATCGAGTGTACACTTGATGCCTTAGCTGGGTCCCGATGGTTCTCCACTTTGGACCTAAAGTCCGGCTATTGGCAAGTGGAAGTAGAGCCAGCAGATCGCCAAAAAACGGCGTTCATCCTGCCACAAGGATTGTACGAATTCGAAACGATGCCTTTCGGCCTCTGTAACGCGGCTGCTACATTCCAACGGCTGATGCAGGTAGTATTGTCACACCTCTATCCGCGCCAGTGCCTCATCTACCTTGACGACGTGATTGTCTTCGGCAAAACTATCGCCCAGCATAACGATAATCTACGCGCCGTGCTCCTAGCGTTGCGCGAGGCAGGCCTCACGCTTAACCCACAGAAGTGTCAATTCCTGCGAGAAAAAGTTAATTACCTAGGACACGAAGTCAGCCCTTCGGGTATCAAAGTCTCAGCTGAAAAGGCGGAAGCTATCCTCACTTGGCCGACGCCAAACTCCACCACGGAAGTCAGAAGCTTCATCGGGTTGGCGTCCTATTACAGACGGTTTATTCGCGATTTTGCAGGTATTGCGCGTCCGTTGCACCGACTTACAGAAAAAGGGCGCGAATTTCGTTGGACGGACGAATGCCAGGCCGCGTTTGATGAGCTGAGAACCCGCCTGTCGAGAGCACCGATACTTATGCTCCCTAATACCACCGAGACGGCGCCACCCTTCGTACTGGACACGGACGCCAGCGCCTTCGCCATGGGAGGTGTACTTTCGCAAACCGACGATAACGGCCTAGAACGCGTTATCTGTTTCGCTAGTAAAACACTCACTAAGCCCCAACGAAATTACTGCACATATCGACGTGAATTATTGGCCATTGTCACCTTCGTTAAACAATTCCGGCCATATCTGCTAGGAAAGCCGTTCGTCATACGCTCCGATCATAAGGCCCTGCAATGGCTACAAAACACGAAGGACGCAGAGGGTCAACTTGCTCGCTGGCAGGAAACGCTACAGGAATATCATTTCACTTGTATATACCGCCCCGGGAAGCAGCACGGCAACGCCGACGCCTTGTCCCGACGGCCAACAACACCAGCCACACACGATGAAGACCGCGCGTTAGGCGAAATAAACGCCATTTACGCCAGCGAACCAGCTAGACATCACTGGGCAATAGCCCAGAGCACGGACCCCGATACCGCAGTAGTTTACGACCACCTGTTAAACCGGCGACACCGTCCTACGGACGATGAATTGCGTGGGTCGTCAGAAGAAGCACATATACTGCGTAGCCAATGGCCACGGCTGCATATCGACGAAGATATCCTTCTCATTAAGGACTAGAGCACAAAAACCGACAGAGTAGTAGTACCAGGCAGCCTCATACACGGGGTCCTCACGGATCTACACAACGAGTTAGGCCACGTCGGACAAGCCAAGACAGAAGCCGCCACTCGGCAACGATTTTGGTGGCCCCATCTACGAGAACACGTCGCCACCTTCTGCAATACATGCACCACGTGCGCGACGTTCAAGACACCTAGACAACTCCCACGTGCACCGTTGCAACCCATGCACACTAGCTTTCCGTTCCAACGGCTGGGCCTGGACATCATCGGGCCCCTCCCCTTTACGACAACCGGTCATCGGTTCATACTGGTGATGGTGGATTATTTCAC